GAGGTCCGACCTACCGGGAAGCTCGGTAGGGGCCGATGTGAGCTACTGTCAGCGGCGTGATTATCGGGTGTAACCGTCGGTCCCGAGATTACCGGGTGTAACCGACGATCCCGAGATTACCGGGTGTAACCGTCGCGAGATTAGCGGGACTACCAGGTACTCAGACCCATAAGACCGATTAAGGAAGACCCATTAAGTAAGGAAGGGGAACTAATTCCAGATATCGATTAACTGCTTGCCAACCACCCATAAGTAGAGGACCTCACTCCACGATCAGGGACGATGATTTCTGACCTCGAACTAAGCTGGGAATCCGACCTATACTGACTTGATCGTCGGAGTGCTCACCTTTTTGTGCAGGTCCACCCAAGTATTCAGATCGGTCCGGAGGCCGAGTTCGAACTGCAATCTGAAATACACTGTTGTGCATATCCTTGCATAAACAAATGACATAGTGAAATTTAGAGATAATGAATGAATCTTATATTTATTTATTCATTAATTAAACTATATATTATATTGACAAGTGTGTGGAAATGGGAAGAGAAGCATGAATATAGTGGCAGTACTCTGACAGAGATCTCAATGCATCATCCAAATTTGGGACTCCTTTTTGGATGCTTCCCAATGGGGATTTACCTGTCACCTCCATTAAATAGATGGCCAATTTCGTCTTTTTGCATTTTTTTTTTAATCTCTTCTTAAAAATAAAATAGTACAACTTTAATTCAACTTTTTTTTTTTTGAAAAATTTAATTCTAATTAATTTTAGCATTGTGTTTAATAGATTACTAACTTAAAATGTCTTTTAACCGATCAAAATTTTAATTGGTGTCTAATAAATCTCTGAATGCTTGATAAATCTTGGAACTTTCAATCTTGTGTTATGTTAATAGGGTCTTTGACTTTCAATTTTGTGTCTAATACATTTTTGACTATTTTTTTCATTTTTTTTAATTAAGCTTATGGACAATATTAGACATAAAATTATATTTTGCGTCTATTGTGACCCTATTTTAATATGTTTCAATTGTGTCCATACAATCTATTAGAAATTTTTAAGTTGAATGAGTTATTAAATAAAAAAATTTAAAGTCTAGGGACTTATTTGATATTTTCTAAAATTTTGAAACCTATTAGATACAACCGCAAGAGTCAAAAACTAAACTTATATTTTTAACTAATAAAATAAACTATAAGACTTTTTTCTCAAGTGAAATTTCAAGCTATTTCTCTCTTCCCTTCCCTAAATCTGTCTCTTCAACTATGATGTCCTTTGCACAAACTATTTGCCTCTGAATAAATTTGTTTCTGTTCACATATTTGTAAAGCTTCCACCATAATAAATAGGGAAAAAAAATCCTTCAATTTATTTTTCTTTAGTTAAGTGTTATAAAATTTGGTCTTTGCACTATTTTATACCATTTAAGATTTTTCATTTATATTCTTTTACTTTGATTATGAATTCTATTTAGTCATTTGGATTAAGAATTCTATTTTAGTCATGAGTGTTAACATTATTAATTTAATAGTGGCGGGATATATTTATTAGATAAATTTGGACTAAATTAACATAACTGGTAGACATTCGGTGTAATACTAATAGATATGAGCATTCTATTTATGGTTTTTTTATGATAAATTACGATGTTAAGAAATATATACTAAACAAAAGTAATGTTCAATTAAAGTTTCTAGTTAATGTTTAAGGATGAATATTAGACATAATACTCAATGTCTTTAGAAACGAATTTATAACTTAGCAATTTTATTTTGTTTGTATTTATGTTTTATGTTTGGATGATGAGAAATGAATCATCCATGATTCATCTTTCATGTACTAAATAGTTTAAAACTCATCTAATTTTCTTTTCTTTGGATGATATGATTCTCAAAGTACTAATCTTGTTACTTTTTGGTTATTAGCTAGTCTAATCTTAATGAATTTTTGGTCTTTAATATGTTATTGGGTAAAAACGAGGTGTCACGCATCAGAAAGCCAATTAAGTCACGTGGCCGAGTTGAGAAACCAACCTAGCACACGGCTAAGCGCGTCAAAGTAGATCCGAGCATACTGAGAATGGTGTCGAGCATTTCTGAACGTCTTGTATAGAGCACATTCAATAGGCAGGATGTTGATAGCATGTACCTAAACCAGGCAGTTGCCTTTTCTTTTCCATATCTATATCTTCCATTGAAAAATTAACACATCAATTATCTTGAGAAGCTTGCTCATGTAGCCAAGCTAAAAAAATAAAAATATGTTTTAGGGGCTACTCAAGACGCTGGCGTGCCCCTGATTACAATACTATATGAAGTAGAGGATGTAGGTGATCACCATTGACCCCTAACACGATACCGCTCCCCTGCAGAAGCCTGAGAGGTGGAGGAATCTCCTTCCTGAACAGGTTCTCTCTCTCCATGTATAAGGAACAGAAGAACCCTACGTAAGAAGGATTTGGTACACACTCTGAACACCATGTTAAGGATGAATAAACCACTACTTGACCAATCAACCCAAAAACTTAATTTAATCCATTTATAAGTATTTCAACACTCCCCTCACTTGTGGACTTAGAAAATAACATCAAGACCGAACAAGAGTGGAAATCAATATAAAATGGGGAGGAAATGACTACACAGAGGCTTAAACACAGGATCTCCCGCTTCGATATCGTATTAAGGATGAAGAAACCACCATTCAACCTAAAAGTTTAAGCTGATGAGTTGGGTAAATTTAATTCACATATTAAATATCTAATACATCATAGCAATGCGAGATTTTTATTTGTCTAAGGCATCAAGTTTTTCAAGAGAAAGACATACGTGGCACCTACGCGAACTACACCAAAAATCGGCATCAACACAATTCTTGCTGATCAACTTATTGCATAGTATAAGTTGACCTCTATTGTATGAGTTTAAGCTCTCAGATAACTTTTCCTGTTTATTCTCATGTGTTAACAGTAGATTTCCGCCATCTTCAAATACGAAACCATGACATCAAACAAAATAAAAAGAATAAAAACAATTGGGAGACGCGTCCAATTTTCCCTTACCAAATCTGTAGTGGATTGAAGAGTAAATGATATAATATTTAGAACTTAGAAGACAGATTATGATACACTACATTATAAAGGGAATCCAATAATAGAGAAACAAAAGGATTCAACAGCCTTTAATGCAAAAGTCCAAAAGTTGCAGATCATATAATAAGCTTTTATTTATATTATTATCAATGATCTGTTTGTCCATTTTTGTGTGGACAAAGTTGCCATAATCTTGAACTTGAAGTCCAACCTAGGTAGCTAGTTTCTTAAACAAAAGAAGAGAAAAAGAAAAGCATAAATCTAAAGGGCTAATGGCCTAATGGGGCGCTCAATATTCCAGGCTGCAGGTGGTAGACACATGAATTCAAAAGGTCATAACCATCCCATCATTTCTTCAACGCGTAGTGATTTTGCAGGGCCTGAAATGTCTTTTCAATAGGCTCCATAGCTCCACCAGTCATCTAAACCACAACAGCATGGCCCTCAGGGAGATAAAACCTCTCTCTCCTCTTACCTCTTACAACAAGAAAAAGCTCATAAGTGTAATTTTAAAAGTTTCAATTTAATCTCTATGATTTGAGTTCAATCGTTTTAATTTGGTCTCTATAGCTATTAAATTTTCAATTTGGTTCATATGATTGAGTTAAACTACACTTATCGACTCTAAATTATCTTTTATCCATTTGGAATATTAATCCATTTCCTTCTATTTCTACTCGTTCCTAGACCATAACATGCAACAAATGTGTAAGTTAAGAAGTACGTAGGACAAAGATAACGTGTCTGTGTTGGATATCTAGTTGTACAAAGTGAATATGAATTTAATACTTGTTAGGTATGTAACGAATACTTCTTAAGCATAAGAAAGACCTCAATAGTAATATAGGAAAAAATAATAAATTTTGAGAATGGAATACATCAAACTCATTTTTTTGTAAGCATCAAAATGCATAAGTTTATTGACTTTGAATTTCGTTCCGGTATAAAAATGATATATACTTTAAAAAAAAGGTATATTTTAATAAACGTATCCTTGTCGTGGCAGTGTCTTAAATTTTAAAAAATTGACGTGTCATCGAATCCGTGTCATGTCATATCTATGTTTCCTATTTGTATCCGTACGTATTTATTAACGTGCAGGTTAGTATCATTATATTTAAGGTAGGATAATTTGTAAGATTTGTCTAAAAAATTCTACTATAGAATCAAATTGAAACAATGCTCAAATTATCGAGACTAATTTATAATTTATCCAAAACCATGAAAATTACTAGAGACATTATAATATATATGAATAGTTGCCATGAGATGATCTTATCCAAAATTTTTTAAACTAGTTTTGGGACGAAAATACAAATAAATACTAAAGTTTAAAACCCATTATTGTTTTTTTTTTTTTGTTATTTTGTTTTGTTTTTCTTTGTGAAATAAATTTATTCCTTCTGTTTTTGCCCTAGTTTTTAGGGATTTGACTTGCTACTCATTTCTCCAACTTCAGTTGGCTTTTAGTTGAAAACAAATTGTACACCAACTTTGACATAAAGGCAACAAAAATCTTGTCAACAATAGCTTTATTTATATAAAATTTCATTGGACTTTAGCCGATGGATAATTAAAACATCCAATTTGATTTGTATAAGTTATGGTATTTAAATTAATGATTAAATTACAAATTTGATAATTATAGTTTGAAGAAAGTTCCAATTTTGTTACATACTTTTAAAAGTTCAATTTAATATTCCTTTGATTTATCAAATTTCACTAATCTTTTTCTTTTAACAATAATTTCACAAATTTCTTTGTTGTTGCCCTATCGACGTATTTTTTACCTAGCAATCAAACAATGTTTTTCTATTTGGCTAAATCAAACGAAACAGGTAGACTTTATGGGTGAGTAAAGAAAATTTAAGTATCATTGTGAAACTAAGCGCCCTAAATTATAAAGACTATGGAAACTAGATTAAAATTATGCTTAAACATGGGTCTAAATTTGTAATTGAACCTAAATTAATCAAATCACTGTTTTTTCTAACAGACGTTGGATCATCCATCTAATTTATGCTAAAAAGACACCTAATAGTTCTAGTTTTCACAAAACTAGCTTTGAATTTTGGAGCAAGCAGTTGCAGTAAAGACTGTCCGTACAACACAATTTCACATCATTAATTTCACCTTCGTTAACAAAGTGCACAAAATTAACAGAAGCTTTACCCAAGTGCT